TGACATGAAGGTGTCCCTTCCCGTCTTCCCTGCGTTGGCTGTGCAGGCTGATAGCTACCCAGGCCAGAGTCCTGCAGAGCTGCCCCCGGCCCTGCTACCTGCTGTTGGTTTCAGTCAAGGGCCTTGTTCTGTGTTTGTTTCCCCATCTGTTTTTTTTTTTTTTTTTTAATATATATTGCATTTATTTATTTTCATTTTATTTGAAAGAGAGAGCAAGAGACATTGATCTGCTATGTGCTGGTTCACTCACCAAATACCTGCAATAGCGAGGAGCCTGGAACTCCATCTGAATCTGCCCCTTGGGTGGCAGGAACTCAAGCATCTGAGCTGCTGTCTGCTGCTTCCCAGGGTGAGCATTAGCAGGAAGCTGAATCAGAAGCAGAGGAGCTGGGACTCAAACCAGGCACTGCAAAATGAGACGCAGGCGTCCCAAGTGGCATCCTAACCACTGTGCCAATGCCTGCCTCTTTTCCCCTCATCTTAATAGAGTTAGTACCTGTCTCACAGAACAAGGATGAAGAGGAAGTATTTGTGCACAGGGACATTTTTCTCTCTCTCTACAGTGAATGACTAGGAATAAACTAGTTAGCTCATTAAAAAGTTGTATGATATTTTAAGGCTTTCTACAGAGATTGTTGATTAGTTCTCTTAGAAAGGTTTTTAGTTCTCTTAGGGTTTAAAAGTATGCAGTCCTATTTGCAGTGTGCATCCATTATCTATTTTATTATATACATTTTAAGTTGATATGAAAAGATACTATAGTTGATCTTAGCCAAAAGGCCAAGAAGCAATTATACATGTTTTTAAAATTAAGAGAAATACATTTTTAGGGAGATATTTAAGCAATACAGAAGGCTACAAATTGAACAGGTAGTGATGCATCACCTCCTTGACCCAGTCTCCCTTCCCAGGAGGTTCTGCTAACAGACATCTCCTCTTCCAGCAAACAGCTTGCATGTGTGTGTGCCTATATGCAAGCAGTGAGATGTTCCAAACATTCCTCTTTGATGTGAACTTTTGGGCTTAACGGTGGACTTAGAAGCTTTTCTACATGTATCTGGAGCTGTCTCATTCTTCTAAATGACTAGCTAGTTTTGACTGCCTCTCTACACCTTAGCCATAGTTTTTTAAACCTTGTCCGTTTAGGTTGAGGAACTGTACTGGGCTGGTGGAGGGTGGTGGTGGTTGGGGGGAAGGACATCATTTCAAAGTTGACTTCATTTGTGACTTACTGAGAATAACGGTGGTGGTGGGCTGTTGTAGGGGGTAGAAGGAGACAGAAAGAGAGAGAGAATGAGGATTTTCTATCCTCTGGTTTATTTCCAAAGGGCTGCAACAGCCAGGGCTGGACCACGCTGAAGCCAGGAGCCAGGAGCCAGGAACTTCATCACAGTCTCCCATATGTGTGGCAGGGCCCCAGTACCTGGGTTATTCTGTTGTCTTCCCAGGTATATTAGCAAGCAGCTAGATTGGAAGTGGAGCTGCTAGGATTAAAACCTGCACTGTGATATGGGATGGTGGCATCTTAAACCTGCTGTGCCCCAGTGCTGGATTGTAGAAGTCATTTTTGTTTAAGCACACTAGTGAATTATTGCAACTTTAGTTCCTTACAAAAAACAGAATCTTTTTTTGCTATTTCTAAAAAAAAATCTTAGAAGGTTTTCATGATGTTTTGTGTTCAACAAAAATTTGAATTGTCTTCTAATAGTTGTGGCTTAAATGTCTTCAATGTTGTGGCTGCACATTTTTAGAAGTTAGGAGGAACAGGAAGCTGGAACCCCCACTGAAGCCTCTAGGGAGAGTCAGCCTTCAGTGATGTGAAACCCAGCTGGGAACCCCCATCCTGTCTGAGGTTCCTGTGTGTGGAGCCTATTGTTAAGGTTTAACATCACACGTGGAAGGAGACTGTTTCCAGGGTGCTCAGGGTTTGGGCCATTGTTAGGAGTGCTGTGGCCTGGTGAGCCATGTGTGTGTGCAGCATGAGGGGCTGCCAGCAACTCTGCATCTGGGGAGAAGGGGATGCTCAGGAAGGAAGCAGGAAGCCTGAACAGAGAGAGGAAGGACTCCCAGTAACAGGCAACAGCAGTGGGAGCCAGGTGATTGTTCTGCTGTTTGAAGTCTAGAATAAGGGAGTACGAATTGCAGGGTCTGAAAATTTATTTTTCATAAATGAGCCTTCTAAATTTTCAAAAAATGTTTTAAATGAGAGCTGTCTTTGAGGAGACCAGACCTCCTTCCAGGCTACATCCTTGGGATGGCAGGTGCCACCTGCTTGGAGTGGGGCCAGTGGGAGTTGTTACTGGGCTCGCCAGGTTGGGCTTTTCCTGGAAGACCAGAATTTTTTTTTTTTTTTTTTAAGATTTATTTATTTGGCCGGTATTGTGGCTCAATAGGCTAATCCTCCACCTAGCGGCGCTGGCACACCGGGTTCTAGTCCTGGTCAGGGCACCGGATTCTTTCCCGGTTGCCCCTCTTCCAGGCCAGCTCTCTGCTTAGGCCCGGGAAGGCAGTGGAGGATGGCCCAAGTGCTTGGGCCCTGCACCCCATGGGAGACCAGGAGCAGCACCTGGCTCCTGCCTTCGGATAGGCGGGGTGCGCCGGCTGCAGCGCGCCAGCCGCGGTGGCCATTGGAGGGTGAACCAACGGCAAAAGGAAGACTTTTCTCTCTGTCTCTCTCTCTCACTATCCACTCTGCCTGTCAAAAAAAAGATTTATTTATTTATTTGAAAGTTGGAGTTACACAGAGAGAAGGAGAGACAGAGGCAGAGAGAGAGAGAGAGAAAGAATCTTCCATCCGCTATTTCACTCCAGCAACGGCTGGAGCTGCGCGAATCCGAAGCCAGGAGACAGGAGCTTCTACCGTATCTCCCACGTGGGTGCAGGAGTCCAAAGACCCGGGCCATCTTCTACTGCTTTCTCAGGCCACAGCAGAGAGCTGGATTGGAAGTGGAGCAGCCGGGATTCGAACTGGCGCCATATGGGATGCCAGCACAGCAGGTGGTGGCTTTACTCACTATGCCAGCCCCCAGAAATTCTTGTTCACGGGTGATTTAACCCTCTGCTGCAGTTTATTCCTCTGTGCTGGTCCCTCTCCCCCATGTCCCAGATCCACAAGCCTGCAGGGTTGACACTGCTTAGTTGGATGTCTTTAGCTCTTCTCTTCTCCTTTTAATTTATTTGAGATGCAGAGAAACAGAGAGACAGACAGAATGCTCTTATCTGCTGAGCACTCCCCAAATGCTTGCAGTGGCTGAGGGCTTGAAGCTGAAAGCCGGGAACTCAATCCATGGGTGGCCGGAACCCAACTACTTAAACCATCACCTGCTGCCTTCCAGGATCTGCATTAGCAGGAAGCTGGAATCAGGAGCCAGAGCCAGGCATTGAATGTAGGCACTCCCGTATGGTCTGTGGGTTTCCTAACCATGGCTTATTCGCTAGGACCGATGTCTGTCCCGAGTCATGACATGATGGGAACCATGGGAGAGCACCCAGTGGTCTGACAGTTGCCACAGGGGCCCCTTAGGGTGTGCTGGGCCTCTGCTGAGCTGAGCATCTTCCCTCACTAGGCCACTCTGCAGCCACGTGTTCCTGGGGAGGGTGTGTGTGATCTCTTGACCAGGCATTTTCACCAGGTCACCAAATGGCTATCTGCTCTGCAAGGAACCCAGAAGGGTAACAGTGTCACTGCATTAAAGAAACTTGTCCTGTGTCAGAAGAAAGGAGACCCAAATGCCTACCTGCCATGTAAAGTGGGGTATGATAAATGCTGTAAGGCAGGCAGAGAGGATGAGGGAAAAGGAGAGCACTGTGGCTGAGCCCCTCACTGTCAAGAGGAGGGAAACTGCTGGGCCAGGCGGTCAAGGAGGCTCAGCAGGGGCAGTGAGATTGGCCTGGGCTTGGAGGGGTCTGGGCCCGGGGGCCTCAGCCTGCCTGTCCTGCAGGGTGTTGAGGAATGCTGCCTGAGGGTTTTCACCTTTCCTCTAGAGCAGTCAGTGAAAGTACTGAACAGACACAGCTGAGGAAGAGATGTCCTGGCCCGCAAGTCACCTTTGTCACAGAGCCACTTAACCGCATGTCCTCCTGGTTAACTTTGAGGGTTTCTGGTACTGCCGAGGAAGGCGAGTCTGGTGCCTGAAGAAGGTGGCATGGAGAAGCTGGGTTGTGTGCGGGCATGTGCGTGCCTGTGGGTGTGTCTGCATGTGGTTTAAATCCTTGTTAAATTCGTCTGTGTGCTTGTCATGTGTTTGGTTGTGTAACAGGTGTATGCAGGACTGTTCTGTGAGTGTTTCCAGGCCAGTGTCCCACCCGGTTACAAGGCAGCTAAGTGAGTCATCTGGGTGCTGCACTACCAACGTGGCCGGGGTGCCATCCTCTTTGCTTCTGGCTCCTTGCCTGCTGCGTGTACTAGGTAGGCCTGGATGGGAACTGGCATTTTCAGGGGAAGAGTCTGGAGGAGCTGGACATGGAATCACAGGAAGTCAGAGCCCTTGAAACCTAGTAAGGTTTGAGAGCCATTGAGCCCAGGCTTTTACCTGGGCTGACCTCAGACCATACCAGACGGCTGAAAATCAGGCTTGTTCTGGTAGCATGTCACTCACTGCCACTTCTGTGATTCATTGAGTCTTGGGATCACCCAGCCCTGTTGGTGTCAGAGTGACTCAGAACTTTATCTTGTTCTTCGTGAGTGTCTTCAGTGATTTTTTTGAACAAATACTGGTATAAAATTAGGAGGGTGTAGCTTTATTATTAAAGTTAATATTTCTTTAATTCAATCCTAGAGAAGAAAAGCACATTGGAGTTTGTCAAGTTGGCATCTAGCACTTCCTTCCCTGCAGGCTAGGAAACATTTAGAAGGCAGGGATGGGGCCGGGAGCTGGGCCCGTGGCCTGGAGAAGGAACCACAGCAGTGGTTGCTCTGTCTAGAGACTCTCCTGGGGCAAACATTCCATGGGATGTCAACCTAAGGAAACCAAAGGATTCATTTCAAATGGACTCATTGTTTAGACTTCTTTATTCTGTATTTTTAGGGCAGTCAGTACTCATAGCACTTTCAAGTTCTGGATGACGACGAGATCTGAGGATGTTGTAGAGGAATCTTGGAAAATGGGAGAAAACTGTAGAGGAAAGCACTCTGGGGACTAGTGGACCAGAACATGAATAATGAAAATAGTGGAAGGGCCTGTATATTTAGTTTGGAGAAGAGGGTTTTTGTTGTTGTTGTTTAGGGTGTAGGGGTGATGGAATGATCTTGAGACGCTTATAGGGTAGGTTGGAAAGAGTGCAGTTAGATTTGCATGCTAAGCAGTTACACCTGGTATCAAGGGCTACCTTCAGGCTGGGAGATTTTGATTTTTGTATAAAATAACAACATCTGTTTGCAAAGGAATGAGCTTGTTTGGAAGGCCCTGCTTTCTAGGGTATGAGGTAGGACATCCAAGGCCCTTTCCTACTTGAGAGTCTCCAGCTTCCACTTACCTGCTTGCAAAGCAGTTTAGCAGATCTTTTCATCCTGTGCTGGCTGTCTTCTAACCAAAGTTGACCAGGTGGCCCTTCCCCGGGCTACTTTTCCAACTTTGTGTTGAATGGGCAGAGGAGGAGAAGGAACATGGTAGCACATGGGGCGCTGCTGTTCCTGGAGCTTTGCTCTATGTGCCACTGCTTCCCAAGGTGAGAGTTTGCATGCTAGCAGAGCGGCAAAGAAATCAGGGAAGTGATAACTGCCACAAGGAGGGCAGTAGCCGTTGCTCTTTTTAGGAGCTGAGCAGTTTGTCCACAGTCTCATGACTGCTGAGGGCCAGGGCCAGGGCTTGTCTGTTGCAATTTCTTTGAATGTTTATCTGTTTTCATCTGCTTGAAAGGGAGATCTTCCATTTGCAGGTTAACTCCTCAGATGCACATAACAGCCAAGGTTTAACCAGGCTAAAGCCAGGGACTCCCTCCAGGTCTCCCATACCAGTGGCAGGGACCCAAGCACTTGAGCCATCACCTGCTGCCTCCCAGGGTGTGCATTAGCAGGAAGGTGGATCAGAAGTGGAAGAGCTAAGACTTGAACCACGTGCTCCAGTACAGGACATGGGCATCCCAAGCAGGGGCTTGACCCACGAGACCATGTGCCTGCCGGGGGCTAGGCTTAGAACCCAGCAGAGGCAGTCTGTTCTGTAGTCTTTTGTTTGGCTGGCGTGAAATTCTGTGCCTACCTGAGAATAAAGGTAAGTAGCCAGGAAAGACAGAAAGATACGCATGTCAGTAACGCTGTGTTTGTTTTTTTTTTTTTTTTTTTTTCACTAGAACTGAACATTAGAATCATCTGAGTAGTTTAAACACAAATGCCAGGTACCCTCCCTCATGGGTATGTGTGCACACATACCACGTCTCTGTGTCTGTCTCTTTCTCAAACTCTAACCAGGAGAAAAAGCAACTGTGTCTAACTTAGGATGTGGTGACCTGGGCACCTCTTGGTTCGGCCACTGCCTTTTGTTTTAGAGATTTATTTTTATTTATTTGAAAGGCAGAGTGACAGAGTGGGGAAGGGAGCGAAGAGAGGAGAGGGAGAGCAAGAGAGAGAGAGAAATAGATCTTCAGTTTGTTGGTTTACTTCCCAGATAGCCACAACACCATGCTTGGGCCAGTATGAAGCCAGGAGCTAGGAACTCCACTGGGTCTTTCATGTAAGGTGGCAGGGGCCCAAGTCCTTGGACCAGTCTAACACTGCCTTCCCAGGTGCATTAACAGGGAGTGGGATTGGAAGTGGAGCAGTCGGGACTTGAACCAGCACAACAATATGGAATGCTGGTATCACAGGCAGCAGCTTCACCTGCTGTACCACAACTCTGGCCCCTGAGAGCAGGGTGCCATTGAGCCATGTCTGCCCTCTGAGCACAGCCCAGCAAACTGTTTCTCCAGGCAGGCACTTGCAATCAGGATAAAGAAGCAATACTTTGTTACAGAAGCTCCCCAAGTATATGAGCTAGCTGTAAATGAGCCCATCTAAACCATCTTTGTAGGCCAGTTGAGGACAAGGACCTCAGCATGCCGCTGGGAATGGCAAAGCTGGGCCTAGAGGCCAGGCCTCTGACCTGTGGCCAGGGTCTCTCCGTGGAAGGCTTCTTTAGGGATGTTAGAAACATGAGTCACTTCAGCAACAACAGAGCCCGCCTCTCCACCTGGAAGTCTTCTCTTAGTGTCTTTGCACAATAGGCCCAATAAACCCAGCACAAGTCTGTCCTTCGTTGTCTGTTTAGGCTGTAGTAGAGTGCCAGTGTTCATGTGGAGATCTATGGTATTGGAAGGGCATGGGGAGCAACCTAGAATGTAACACTTCATCTTGTCCCAAAATGAATGCTTATTGCTGGTTAAAGTCGTTTTGGTGATTATAACTGTTGCAAATCCTGCAACACTTCCTGTGTGTGTTTGTCTACAGGTACCCATATGTCTTGAGTACTTCTTACTAAAATGGGTTGCTATTTAATGTAATCTTCTCAGTAGCCCTGAAGAGGAATTATTCTATTTTTCAATCAGCCACGTCATCAAGGTGATAAATAACTCATTTGGAGGTCAAGAAGCCGAAGGCAGGCCTTGCAGCATCTTGAGATTTTTTCCCCCTTGTAGCTCACAGCAGTTCTAGGGCCAGTGGCATCCCCTGGGAGCTTGTTGGAAACACAGCTGTGCAATACACATCTGCGTGTTCAATGTGATCCCTGAGTGGGTCTTAGGCACCCGAACGGTGAAGATGTGTTAGTCTGTGCTGCATTTCCAAGTGTACAGTCACAGACTGTGTGAATTGCCTAGACAATGGTGTCCCATGACATTGGCCTAAGTGTGTAACGTGATGTTGGCACAGTGACGGAACAGTCCGGTGATGCCTGTGTCCCCTGCATGACTACTGACCCTCCTCTCTTTGGAGGTTGATGTAATCGAGGCATTTCCTGTCCGGATTGTGCTCTTTTCCATGGGATGGGAGGTGGACAAGGGAGGATCTTGAAGGCAAACAAATACACAGGATTTCTGTAAGTGTTTTCTGTCACCATTTGTTTCTGGGACAGTAGTTTCCAGCAGCAACTGTGCAGGCTCCACATCTTCCTAGGCCTCTTTGTATTCAATCAGTTGTTCTGGGGAAGGATCCTGTAGATGGCATGGGAGGAGGTTGACTCTGCCTGGAAGAGAGGGACCTCTGATGTCCCTCTTGAACGTCTGGGGGCTGAGCTGGTCTAGGTGGGTGCTGCAGGGGACAGTATGCCACATTGGCTGGTGAGCTGCTGTTCCTGGTGGAGCATAGTTCATTGCCCTGGGAGTTGGAATGACTGCATGGCTCAGGTCCTAACGTAGTTGCTGGGAAGGCCAGTGTAGGTCTTCCTGTAGCCAGAGGAAGTGACACTTGTATCTTGGCATCCAAAGTGAAACAAACTGGGGTCACCAGACTGAGGTGCACCTGCTTCATTGGCCGTGCTCAGGAGCTCGGGGTAAATTCCACAGGCTGGGCTCACTGCCCCATAGGTGTGATCTGTCCTGGACGCACTGAGTAATGTCTGAGGTGTGGACAGAGCGCCATCAACGTGCCCTCGAAACTGGAAAGCTGAAGCACCCGTGTGATGCCAGGAGTCCTTCACTGTGAGGAAGGAATGTGCTGGCACCAGCAGACAGCTGGCTGCGTGTTCAGCTAAAATTCAACTCCACTGCTGACTTGTTGCTTTTCCCTCCCCACCCTTTCCCTCAAGGTTGGCCTCCGCCAGCTGGACATGTCTTTGCTTTGCCAACTCTACAGCCTGTACGAGTCGATTCAGGAATACAAGGGAGCGTGCCAGGCAGCAGCCAGCCCGGACTGCTCCTACGCTCTGGAGAATGGCTTCTTCGACGAGGACGAGGAATATTTCCAGGAGCAGAGCGCAGTCCAGGATGGGAGGGACCGAGGCGCTCCTCGGGACGTGTCGCCGCCTGTCTCTTCCCTCACCAGCAGCAGCTGGGTCCTGGAGTCCCTGTAGGGGGCCATGGGGGCTACGCTTCCTACTGGACATGCCGTCAGCATTTGCTTCTCTTGTGAGAAAGCTCCTGTGCTCCTCCATGGTGGACAGTGCTCAGGCCTGAGGGGCGAGCGCTGCCAGGTCAGTTTGTAGCAGGAGACTCTCCATTGACACGTGGTGGCATTCCGCTTGGTCGGCTGCAGTTCTGCTTGGGTGACCTAGAGGTGTTCAGGAACATCCTTGACAGCCTTGTACTGAGACGCACCTGCTGAGCACGCGCAAGGATGTGAGGAGAGGATCCCTGTAGGAGGCCTTGGAGGGGATTGCGTGTGGGGTGACTTGGGGTTAGTTACTTCCTTACAGGTGGTAGATTATTTGTACCCGCATTGTTTTGGGGTTTGTGATGTGTGAACACCAGCACTGCGCCGTTCCCTGCCTCTGCAGCTTTTGCTGGTTCATGAGCCTTTAAGCCTCTTATGTTGGCTTTATTTATTTATAAGCTGCATTACTAACTGGTCAGGTGACTTGGTGAACGCTTTTTACTGAAAAAATAAGCACTTCTGGTCACACCAACCAACTGCTTACTCTCAACCTTCCAAAACTTTATATCATTCTTGTTAATCAGATATAGGAGGAAAGAAGCTAATAGGGAGATATGTTGAATAAAATGGCAAAACAAAACTGGAACAAGCTAATATTTTGTATCATTCACTGTAAAATGGGAAACATTTTTGTTTTTAAAGATTCTGAATGTAAACTAGTAGGTTAGGAAGCAAACACCCTCCCCTCAAAACAGTGATTACCTTAAGCCTTAATATATTTAATAAAGTATTTTATGAAAACTTTACATTTTGTAGGTTAAAAATAGAGATAAAATGCTCAACTGCCTGTTGTTGTCATGTGCTATTTTTTTTTCTGAATTCAGAATCATCAGTTTTTACAACCTGAATGTATGGAATAAAATAAAATACTGGAAGAAAACTAGTTTATTTATTGCCATCAAATGACTTTGAAATAAGCTGGGGCAGTGCTGTGGCATAGCAGGTTAAAGCCCTGGCCTGCAGTGCCGTCATCCCATATGGTCAGCGGTTTGAGTCCTGGCTGCTCCACTTCCAATCCAGGTCCCTGCTAATGCACCTGGGAAAGCAGCAGAGAACAGCCCAATTCTTTGGGCCCCTGCACCCATGTTGGAGACTCAGTGGAAGCTCCTGGCTCCTGTCTTCAGAATGGCTCAGCTCCGACCGTTGTGGCCACGTGGGGAGTGAACCAGTGGATAGGAAGACCTCTCTGTCTCTACCTCTCTCTGTAACTCTTTCAAATAAATAAAAATAAATCTTAAAAAAGAAAGAAGCTTTACTCATCTGTTGAGTTTAACCTGTCATTTTACCAAGAGTAGACCATGAATGCCCAGATCTTAGTGCCATGCTGTCTGAATACTCAAAGATTCCTTGTTCTTTCCTGCAGTGCCATAATTGCTCATTAATGCCTCTTTCAGGTTGGACAAAGGAATCAAACCTTGCCATTAAAAAAAAAAAAAGATTTATTTATTTACTTGAGAGGCCGAGTTACAGACAGGGAGAGAGGTCTTCCATCTACCAGTTCACTCCCCAAACAGCCGCAATGGCCAGAGCTGAGTCCATTTGAAGCCAGAAGCCAGAAGCTTCTTCTTGGTCTCCTACACAGGTGTGGGGGCCCTAGCACTTGGGCCGTCTGCTTTCCCAGGCCATCAGCAGGGTACTGGATCAGAAGTGGAGCAGCCAGGACTTGAACCAGGCCTGTATGGGATGCCAGCACCACAGGCAGATGCTTAAACCACTACACCACAGAACCAGCCCCCACCTAGCCATCTTTAACCAGTGAGTATTACTGTCCTGTATACCACTTTGTATTTGAAGCAAGAGTGAGAAATAGAGAAGAGCATTCTTGCTTATTTCATTTGTTGAAAGTAGTTAAAATGAGGGGTGGAAATAAATGGTCTTTGGTATTTGACAACTGTTTGGGGGACAAGCAAATTGAAAGCTGTTAAGACCATGTTGAGTCTGGTCATGGGCAGGAACCTGTTCCTTTGAGTCTGTGCCCTGTAGAACAATGGGCTGAGCACTTAGTTCAGCTGTTCTCTACTCTGACCACATTAAAGACCATTTGGGAGAGCTTTTAGAAAAAAAGATTGGGGGGCCGGCGCTGTGGCATGGTGGGTAAAGCCACCACCTGCAGTGCCGGCATCCCATATGGGTGCTGTTTCGAGTCCTAGCTGCTGTACTTCCAATCCAGCTCTCTGCTGTGGCCTGGGAAAGCAGTGGAAGATGGCCCAGGTCCTTGGGCCCCTGTACCCATGTGGGAGACCCAGAAGAAGCTCCTGGCTTTGGATCGGCACAGCTCCAGCTGTTTGCAGCCATCTGGGGAGTGAACCAGTGGATGGAAGACCTCTTTCTCTCTGTACCTCTCTCTGTAAATCTTTCAAATAAGTAAAAGAAAACTACAAAAAATATTTATTTAAAAAAACTGATGCTTCGGCTCCAGCAAACCACTCCCCTTCTAGTCTGGGTTTAGGAAGGAGTGAGGCCTGGGCATCTATATGGTTCTAGAAGTTGCCCTAGCATTGGTAAGATACAGTGTTTCACCTGACTTGTGTTCAGAAGTGTGTCTATGGATCAGGCATACAGAACCTCACTCTACCCCAGCTGCACTGACTGGCCGTGAGCCACGATACCCTCGAAGATCCTTCTGTATAGAGCTCAGGAAGGGCTGCTGTATGTCCGCCTAGTGCCCAGCACCCTTGGGACCACTGCTACTCTAGTGGGCTGCCAGGATCTCCATGCAGCTTGAGGAGGAGGCTGGCCTGCCACAGGCCCGCGGGCCGTGGTCAAGAACAAAGCTCAGGTGCAGGGGATCCGATGTTACAGATGGGTTCCTTCTTTGGACTGCTATCTCTGGGGCTCTGCTGGAACTGTAATGATGCATCACGCCTTTGAGTTTTGGGAATGCTGGAGAGTCTGTCAGAGTTGGAAGAGGAATGGGTCACAGAGGCAGTGGGCGACATGCTGTTGGGAAGGTTACCACATCCCTCTTGTGGTGAGGGACCTTACGTGCATAAGCCATTATGCTTTTTCTTTTTTAATTTATTTTATTTATTTGAAAGAGTTACAGGGAGAAGTTGAGACAGAGAGAGGTTTTCCATCCACTGGTCACTCCCCAAATGCCTGTAAAGGCCAGAGCTGAGCCAGTCCAAAGCCAGGAGTTTCTTCTGGGTCTCCCCATGTGAGTGCAGGGGCCCAAGCACTTGCTCCATCCTCCACTGCTTCCCCAGGCACATTAGCAGGGAGCTGGATCGGAAGTGGAGCGGCCAGGACTTGAACCGGTACCCACGTGGGATGCCGGCACTGCAGGTTGGGCTTTAACCTGCTGCACCACAGCACTGGCCCCACCATTTTTGCTTTTTAACAAGCCTTTGAGAACATTTATAAATCCATGCACAGTATACTTTTTTAAATACAGTTTGGCAAGGGATATTGCATTTTACCAAATTATGATTTTCTTAAATTTAAAAATTTTTCATTTGAAAGGTAGACAGAGGGAGGAAGGGAAGGAGAGATCTTCCATTTGTTGGTTCACTTCCCAAATGGCCACAATGGCAGGGGCTGTGCCAGGATCCCGAAAGTTCCTGGGGCAGGGGTCCTAGTACTTTGGGCCAGTCTCTGCTGCTTTCCCAGGTACATTAGCAGGGAGCTGGGTCAAAAGTAGAGCAGCTGAGACTCAAATAGGCACCATGTGGGATGCCGGCATCACAGGTGGCAGCTTACCCTGCTGTGCCACAACGCAAGTCCCTATAAAATTATTTTTTAAATAATTATTTATGGGATCGGCACTGTGGCGTTAAGCCTCTACCTGTGGTGCCAGTGTACTGAATGGGTGCCAGTTCGTGTCCAGCTGCTCCTCCTCTGATCCGGCTCTCTACTATGGCCTGGGAAAGCAGTGCAAGATGGCCCAAGTGCTTGGGGCCCTGTACCCATGTCAGAGATCCAGAGGAAGCTTCTGGCTCCTGGCTCAGTTACAGCCACTGCAGCCATTTGGGGAGTGAACCAGCAGATAGAAGACCTTTCTTTCCCTCCTTCTGTCTATAACTCTCTCAAATTAAAAAAAAAAAAAAAAAAAAAAAAAAAAAGAATTATTCACTTGAAATAATGGCAGAAAAAAAGAGAATGCTTCCAGTCACTGCAACAGCCAGATTTGAGCCAGGCCAAAGCCAGGAGCCAGAAACTCCATCCAGGTCTCCCATGTGGGTGGCAGGGACTCAAGCACTTAAGCCATTATGTGCTGCTTTCCCAGTTACATCAGCAGGAAGTTGGATCAGAAGCAGAGCCACCAGGACATGAACCAGCACTTTGATATGAGAGGGTGCTTAACCTGCTGTGCCACAACTCGCCTCTAAATATTTTCTAATATACCCTCTTTATAAAGGTTCCACAAATAATTAGAAAATAAATTCCACTAGTGTCTTAGTGGTAGAAATAATTACCTTTAAGCTCAGAGTGGCATTTCCTTGCCATTCTTGAAGTTAGATTGAGTGTCCAACTGAGAGTCTCCTAGGTGGGAAGAGAAGCAGGTAGCATTAACGGATGGAAGCTGGGGGAAACCATGATTATTCTGTAAGGCCCAGTCCACAGTAGTGGACTTTAGCTTAGCTAAAGCCATAGAGCTTTGTAGTCCACAAATAGTACAGTTCCCCTCCTGTCTAGTAGAGTCCATATTCCACTCAGCAGCCTGACCTGTCACCTGGGCTGTCATTCACTCAACATTCACACAGCACTTCTCTGGGTGACAGTTGAACCAGGCACCAAGAATTCAAAGGTGAGTAATGCGAAGAGCCTCGGGTGGATGTTACAGTCTCACAAATAGCCCAACACATGTGATGACAGCATTGCCATTGTATACCTGGCTACTGAGGCCTGGAACGAGGCTGAGTACTTATGGATACTTGGCAAGGATCACATCTGAGCTGACTTTGAAGGCTGAGTAAACTCTTTTAAGAGGAAAAGTGTGAGAAGGCATATGTAGCATGAAGAAGGTCCTCTAAAATGCTTATGTATAACATTTTCATTTCTGTAATTAAAATTCAGGTTAAGTGATTTGCCTAAGGTCACGACCATATAAAAGCAGAGCTGGGGTTCCTTCTCAGTGGCAGTTAGTGCTGCAGCCATGTTTAAGGCACAGGTGAGTGCTGTGAGATAATGTAAAATCGAAGGAGATTATCGAGTACAACCTCTTAGTCTTAACGTGACCTTGCTGATTATTTAATTTGTTGTGTAGTGCTTGTTTTCCTGGGGCTTGGTTTGACTTCTGCGTGAGCAGGCGTGGTTTCCTTCAAAGTGTGGAGTTACGAGTAGATGGGGAGGCTCTGAAGCAACTCACATCACTCCCAAGTAAGCGAGCTGGCAATTCAATTTCACCTTTCTGCCTGAAGAAAGCTTACAGGTGGTAAAAGTCCAAGCAGCTCTAGTGTGCAGAATGCAGAATGTTGATTAAAATCACTAACAATGCAATATTACCAAAAAAAAACCAAAACAAAACAAAACAAAAAAAACAAACCAACAGCAGAAAACACATGAAGCAATAGTAAGGGAAGGGACTATAGCCTGGGAGGTAGGTGTCCCAGGAGAATGGTGAGTGCCACCTGGAGAACTAGACATCCTCAACCTTGGGCAGAAGCTCAGAGTCTCCTCCCTGTTTTCCATTCTGTCCCCAGCTAAGAGAAGCTCTAATAAAATTAGTGACAAATGGAGTCCCAGGAACACAAACCATTTTATTGGGAAGGCAGATTTTGGTGGGAGTAGCACTTGCTTGAGAAATAGACGTGGCCTGAGAGGCACGCCCTGTTCTCTTCCTAGGGCACGACTTAGGAGGGAAGTCAGACTGGACAGCCTAGATCGGCCCCATCCCAGAGCCTTACCTTTAATTCTCTCTCTCCTGCCCTTAGGGTGCCAAGATGCTACCTGGGTTCAGGGAGAAAGGGTGAGAGGCAGGAAAACTCCTGTGAAATTTCAGAGTCCAGGACAATGGTAGGAAAGCCCCAGAATTTTTGATAAGGGCCAGCTAGTAATCCTGCCCATATATTTGGTGTGTCTCTGGGCGTACATACCTCAGGAAACTAGGTAGAAAGAATTTGGAGAACAGGTGCTCTCTCATCAGGCCCCTCCGACAGTTCCTGTAGTTACTGTAGACTTTGTAAGAAGAAAAGAAACTAATGTAATCAAAATATTTCCCAGACCCAAGGAAAAAACTATGTATCCATATCCCTCAGGATTACAGATGTAAAAATATTCAACAAAATACTAGTAAATTCTGTGAACTACAGATAAAAACGATCATGTGCAGTAGGCAAGGGGGATTTATTATAAGCATGAGAAGTTGAGTTTAATGTAGAAATAAATCAGTTAATTTGCTTTCTTAATGGAATAAAGAATAAAAGCTACATGATCATTTTATTCAATGCAGAGATAACATTTGTTAAACTGAGCAATATTCCTGGATTAAAAATGTTTATCCTTGGAACTGAAGGGAACTTCCTCAACCTTATATAGATCAAATATTAAAATTTTAGAGCTAACATTTTTTTTTTTTTTGACAGGCAGAGTGGACAGTGAGAGAGAGAGAGATAGAAAGGTCTTCCTTTTGCCGTTGGTTCACCCTCCAATGGCTGCCGCGGCCGGCGCACCGCGCTGATCCGATGGCAGGAGCCAGGTGCTTCTCCTGGTCTCCCATAGGGTGCAGGGCCCAAGCACTTGGGCCATCCTCCACTGCACTCCCTGGCCACATCAGAGAGCTGGCCTGGAAGAGGGGCAACTGGGACTAGAACCCGGTATGCCGGCGCCGCAAAGCGGAGGATTAGCCTAGTGAGCCGTGGCGCCGGCCAAGCTAACATTTTAATCATGGATGACTTTCAGGTCAGGAATAAGGCAATGACTTACACTCAAAGTTTCTAGATTATAAAAGAAAAAGTAAAGATATCTTGGTAAATGAAATGATCGTGTGTATAGGAAAAACTTAAGGCAACTACTTTTATACAAAAGCAAGCCATCAGAATAAATAACACTGTATACTTGGGTTTGTACACATCTGTGATGAAGAAAGAAGTAATCATTCACAATGGGAGGAAATATTACAGGCATAAATCTGAAAAGAGTCTAGTATTCAGAATATGTAAGTATGCAAACCAGGTAAATAATAAAAATACAAGAACATAATTGGAAATACATATAACAAGATGTACCAGGCCAACAGACTGAAAACTGGAAACATTGTTGAGAATGTTTTCTATAACAGACTCATAATTTCCAATTTCTTTTTTTGTTTGTTTGTTTGTTTAAAGATTTATTTTATTTATTTGAGTTACAGAGAGAGGTAGAGACAGAGAGGTCTTCCATCTGCTGGTTCACTCTGCAGAGGGCTGCAATGGCCAGAGCTGTGCTAATCTGAAGGCAGGAGCCATGAGCATCTTCCGGGTCTCCCACATGGGTGCAAGGGCCCAAGCACTTGGGCCATCTTCTAATGCTTTCCCAGGTCATAGCAGAGAGCTGGATCAGAAGAGGAACAGCTGGGACTGGAACCAGTGCCCATATGGGATGCCAGGGCTTTAACCTGCTGCGCCACAGCGCCAGCCCCCATAATTTCCCATTTCAAAACTTACCACAAAGCTATGGTAATCAAGACAGAATGGCATGTGGATAATTTAAGTGTAGATATATGAACCAGTAGAATTGAGAACCCTGAGATACACATTATCACCAACTGGCAAGGGCATTGAAACCAATCAGTGCTAACAGGAATAGTCTCTTTCAGTCAGCGCTGTGGCATAGTGGGATAAACCTCTGCCTGTGGTGCCAGCATCCCGTATGGTTCTGGTTCATGTCCCTGCTGCTCCTGTTTCGATCCAGCTCTCTGCCATGGCCTGGGAAAGCAGTAGAAGATGGCCCAAGTCCTTGGGCCCCTGCACGTGGGTGGGAGACCTGGAAGAAGCTCCTGGCTCCTGGCTTCAGATTGGCTCAGTTCTGGCTGTAGCGGCCATCTGGGGAGTAAACCAGCAGATGGAAAACCTCTTTCTCGCTCTCTCTGCCTCTCTGCAACTCTGCCTTTCAAATAAATAAATAAATCTTAAAAAAAAAAAAAATAGATTCCTGTACTTGTTATTCAAAATGTCCTTAAAAGTACAGTACCAAAAGTGCTGTTTTTCCATATTTATTTCATTTTGAACAATTGAGTTATGATTTTTAGACAGTGATGGTCATTCTGAATGTCAACCTGCCTGGGTTGAGGAATACCGAATGGGTGGTAAAGCACTATTCCTGAGGATGCTCATGAGGATGTTTTCCTAAGAGTGGATTTTGAGTCAGTGAACTGAGAACGATGGATCCACTCACACCAGTGTGCACGCAAGCCATTTAATCAGTATTGGAAAAGCAGAGGAAAGATGAATTTGCTATCCTTTCTGGAAGTGGGGGACCCCTTTCCTCCTGTCTTTGGGCATCGGAACTCCAGGTTCTCCAGCCGTCGGCTCTTGGACTTGCCCCAGCAGCCCAGGTTTTCAGGCGCTGGGCCACAAACTGAGAAGGACACTAGGCCAGTGCTGCGGCTCACTAGGCTAATCCTCCGCCTTGTGGCGCCGGCACTCCGGGTTCTAGTCCCGGTCGGGGCGCTGGATTATGTCCCGGTTGCCCCTCTTCCAGGCCAGCTCTCTGCTGTGGCCAGGGAGTGCAGTGGAGGATGGCCCAGGTCCTTGGGCCCTGCACCTGCATGGGAGACCAGAAGGAAGCACCTGGCTCCTGGCTTCGGATCGGCACAGAGCGCCGGCCGCGGTGGCCATTGGAGGGTGAACCAACGGCAAAAGGAAGACCTTTCTTTCTGTCTCTCTCACTGTCCACTCTGCCTGTCAAAAAAAAAAAAAAAAAAAGAAGGACACTGTCAGCTGCCCTGGTTCTCAGGCCTTTGGCATCCCTGCTTGTCTAACTTGCAGATGGCATATCTCAGCCTCCATAATGTAGTGACCCAGTTCCTGTAATTAATCCCTGTATATCTATGTTTCCTATTTGTTTACTTATCTGGAGAATGTTGATTAAAACATCAGCTTCAAAATTATATATTAGTGTAAGTAAATAAACTCCTGTAACTTTTGTGTCAACTTAGCATTATTAACATTAACTTTAAAGAGCTATCTTAATTTGGGGGGGATCCCTAATGTCAAAGCATCCTTCAAATTTTTCCTATAGATTGTGGCCGTTTAACACAACATATCAGTGGTATGTAAATTAACTTAAATGTTGATTTTTATGTTAGAAAAAACTATAATATCATTATTCTGGCTTATATTAAACATTTGTTTCAGAATAAATTCTTGGACCCATCACATTTGTGACCAAGTTCCATATAAGCTTTCCTTTCGCTTCTTGAAACTTGAAATGTAGCTTGTTCAACCACAGTATCATGCCTGTGAGGAAATAAAGATCCATTGCTACTTTTTAAAACATTTACTATTAGGCAAGGATTCTTAAACTGGAGTGAACAATGCAATGAGTCTTGGTAGAACTTGTTCACTATTCATCCAACAATTATTGGCAAAGGGAACACATTAATTTGTCATTGCCTTCTACTTGATTGCACAAGCTGGAGATGACTGCATTTGTATGTATTTACTGAACAACTGAATCCATGAAACTTCACAGTCTGCTTCAGAAAGCTGAGTACATCCATTTTTAAATAAACTTCACCAGTGGAATGAAGCAATAGAGGAGATATCACTCTTGTTTAAATGGAGTCGCCAGTAAAGCCACCTCCTGAGATGCCATATGGGTACCAGTTCAAGTCCTGACTGCTCCACTTCTCATCCAGCTCCCTGCTAATTAGCCTGGAAAGGCAGAGGAGGATGGCCCTAGTGCTTGGGCCCTGCACTCATTTGGGAGACCTGGAAGAAGTTCGTGGCCCCTAGTTTTGGCCTTGCCCAGTCCAGGCCATTGTGGCCATTTGGGGAGTAAACCAGTGGATTGGAGACCTCTTTCTATCTCTCCCTCTCAGTAACTCTGCCTTTCAAATAAATAAATACATATTTTTTAAAAATTCCAACTTATCTGATGTCTTTCCTAACAATCATTCCATTCCCAATAGTTCCAAAGTCTTAACCCAGTCCAACATTACTTCAAAGTTCCAAAGACTTATCTGAGATGCAGGGCAAACTCTCTTAACTATTACACTCATGACATCAAAAACATGACACACTTCCAAGATCCAGTGGTGGGGACAGGCATAGAGTATCCTCAGCTATAAAAACAACAAACACTGGCTGGCGCCGTGGCTCAATAGGCTAATCCTCCACCTAGCGGCGCCGGCACACCGGGTTCTAGTCCCGGTTGCCCCCCTTCCAGTCCAGCTCTCTGCTATGGCCCAGGAGTGCAGTGGAGGATGGCCCAAGTGCTTGGACCCTGCACCCCATGGGAGACCAGGAGAAGCACCTGGCTCCTGCCTTCGGATCAGTGCGGTGCGCTGGCCGCGGCGGCCATTGGAGGGTGAACCAACGGCAAAAGGAAGACCTTTCTCTCTGTCTCTCTCTCACTGTCCACTCTGCCTGTCAAAAACAAAAACAAAACAAAAAAACAAAAAACACTGTCATCACCAAATCTTTTTTGTTGTTGTTGTTTAATTTAAAAGGCAGAGCTACTAAGAGAGGGAGAGACAGAGATCTTCCATCCACAGGTTCATTCCCCAACTGGCCACAACTGCCTCAGCTGGGGCCAGACTGAAGCCAGGAGCTTCGTCTGGGTCACCAGTGTAGGTGCAGCGGCCCAAACACTTTGGGTCATCCTTTGTTACTTTCCCAGGCACAGAAGATATCCATGGAGCCAGCACTGTGGCACAGCACCAGCATCCCATTTGAGTGCTGGTTTAAATCCCAGCTGCTCCACTTCCAATCCAGCTCTCTGCTATGGCCTGGGAAAGCAGTGGAAGATGGCCCAGGTCCTTGGGCCTCTGCACGTGGGTGGGAGACCTGGAAGAAACTCTGGCTTCTGGCTTCGGATTGGCACAGCTCTAGCCGTTGTGGCCATCTTGGAAGTGAAACAGCAGATGCAAGACCTCTCTCTCTCTCTCTCTCTCTGCCTCTCTGTAACTTGGCTTTTCAAATAAATAAATAAATCTTTAATAAATTCTTCAATATGTTTATTGAAAACAGTTCAGCATACAGGCATGAGTTTATTTTTGGATTCTCTATTCTTTTCCATTGATAAATCATTTCATTAAAACCATACTATGGGGGCTGATGCCATGGCTCACATGGTTAATCCTCCGCCTATGGGGCCAGCATCCCATATGGCGCCGGTTCTAGTCCCGGTTGCTCCTCTTCCAGTCCAGCTCTCTGCTGTGGCCCGAGAGGGCAGTGGAGGATGGCCCAAGTGCTTGGGCCCCTGCACCTGCATGGGAGAAGAAGCACCTGGCTCCTGGCTTTGGATCAGAGCAGCTCTGGCCACA